TCAAATGCTTCTGTGTGACTTTAAATCTTCTTGTGCAAAGCATGGTGTTATGTTCCCCAATGCAGAGGGATACATCAATTTTGGCCATTCGCTTGAAATCGGCCTGCTTGTCATGCGAACTGGAAAGCCAAGGTTAGCCGTTGCTACAGTTGTAACAGACAAAGATCTCGCACTGCCCATTGGCGCAAGGATGCGAAATGTCTCCATACAGAACATTCATGAAATTCGACTAAACTTCTTACCATGGAGGCAGGGCGGCGAAAAGCTAGTACGGACGTGTACCGGTATGTGAAGTGCCTGGAACATTTAAAACTGCAGTGTGTCAAATGCCTATGCCTGCATGGACTAGGTGCAGATGAGAAGGGCGCATATCGTAAGTTGGGTTCCACTTCTTAGGTAGTGCTTCGGTTCCGTCTCGACGGAGAACCGACCACAAGTCAGTGACTTTACTTCCTCCTTGCGAAAAATGAATCTTGATGGCAAGCCTGACTTAGAGGACCTTGTTGAGCGGACCGGCGAGTCATATAAACTGTGCATCTAATTGGCTGAGCGATTAGCGTAGCCCATTACTCCACTGACCGGAAAAGTTTCATTCTGTTTGTTTGTTTGTCTGTTTGTCCGTCTGTCCGTCTGTCCGCACGATAACTCGAGAAAGAATTGAGATATCGATCGGGAAATTTCAGGGTCGTTTTGTATCATAAAAAGACAGATCGAGTTCGAAGATAAGCACTCTAGCTCAAAAATTGACTTTAAAAAAAATCAAAAACCACAGGCTGCAAGATATATCTTTTTTTTCCAAATATTTTTGGCTGAGCGATTGGCGAAGCCTATAACTCCAGTGATGATCAAAAAGTTTCGCGTCTGTCTGTCTGTCTGTCTGTTTTTCTGTGCGCACGATAACTCGAGAACGAATTTAGCTAGCGACCTGGGATTTCCAGGGTCGTTTTGTGTCATAAAAAGACAGATCGAGTTCGAAGAAGAGCATTCTAGCTCAAAAATTGGATTTTTAAAAAAATCAAAAACCACAGGTCCCCAAAATAGGGTTTTTTAAAAATATTACTTTTACAGTCTCCTAAGGGGTAACTCATCAAAAGAGAGTCCTCTGGGCGAAAATTTTCTCCGTTTTGCTCTAGCTCAAACCGTTGAGGCACTAGAGGGTGTTTTTGACGAAAATAAGCGAAAAAATGTACAACCCTGCATGCTTAGTCAAAGTGACGGGCCGGAGGCCCGTATCTTTGTGTACACTTTTGCACTAACCGACTCGGGTGTCAGCGCCGCAGGCCTAGGTAGATGTATGCCAGGCGCGTCGCAGCGTAACAGTGTTTCGTGAGATATCGCGAAGCCTGTTACG